AAGACTTAGAAAGCATATCCAACAACAGCAACAGTATATGTTAAAGCCGAGTATCTTTTTATGTTGGCTGCAAAATGGATCTTAATCTGTCGAGTTTTTCTTCTGTTGGCAGGTATCTTATGTTAACGGCACATGTCTTATATATATATTTTTAGCGTTTGTCTCGTGAGGTCAGATTTAATTTGCTGATTCAATTGTTGTTTCGTTGGCCAGAGATTATGTTATTTTTCTAGGTTTTGGTATCGCTTTTTTGTCATTTTTATGTTTTATGCTTTTGCGTCCGTTTACAAAATCACCAAAGGACAGTGAGCGGGTGAGCGGCGCGAAGCGGAACGAACGAACCTGTACGAACGAACGAACTTATACGAACGAACGAACCTGTACGAACGAACGAACTTATACGAACGAACGAACTTATACGAACGCCAACGAACGAACGTTAAATCGGCGGTGTCAAGTTCATGCCGGTGGCTGCAGACCTGAAACAATCCGTGAGTTTTCTTTGCGTTTATGTGTTTGTGTGCTATGTGTTTCGTTTTATTTGGTTACTACTTCTATCGTACTTATATTTGGTTACGTCTTATATCGCTACTGACTGTCTTTTTTAATTGTCATACTTATGGACCTGTTGGTGTTTTGTTTCTTGCAGAAAACCGTTTTTAAATACAATGAGTATTGGATCCTGAGGCTCCACCGGTAAAAGTTTTGGATTAGTTTGGTATCGTCTTACTCCGGAAATTAAGAAATCAAGTTGAATCCAATGTTCGTCAGTACGAAAACTGCAAGAAGAATCAACAAGGTGGATTAATTCGATTCTGATATGTGTGAGAGGCACAGTAAGTTCTGCAAGACCTTCAAATCTATCATCCCAAAATCTAAGGTACAGTGACTTCATATTATATTCTTCGGCGTTCTTCAGCAACCTCACGGCTGTCTTCTGGAACCTGCTGGGTAGGGGTTCGGGCTTCTGTTGTTGGGTCAGCTTAGGCCTCTGTCTGTTGTTGAGCTGGTTTGATTTTCTGTTGTTAACGAATACGATTACGAATTGCGCATTGCGACATAGGGCGAGTAGTGCTACTAAGTACTAACTGATCGGTAGTAAACGAACTTATATGTATGTACACAAGATCGAACAAGATCACGAATTGCTTGATGTTGAGGTCTTGTAATTTCGTTTAACTGAACTTTTAGTAGGTAATTTGCGTGACATGTAATCACGTTCTCACTGTCCTTTTATCCCTTTAGCCCAACCTTTTGTTATTGTTTTTTTTGTTTTTACGTTTTTTTTTCATAATTGCTTTCTTCTTAATTCCTTTATTCTCTTTGTCTTGTTATTTTTAACATATTATTAGCACTTATCGGCTAGCCATCTATCGTTTACTATTTCACCATATTTGGCTTAGCATCCATTTTGCAAGTCAGCATACACTGCTACCCGGTGCTATACACCCAACTTTTAAACATGTCGGGAAATTTCAACAATATAACTCGGGGGCAGTTGCGAATACTGCTTGATAAGATGGGACAGGATACACAAGGGACAAAATCTGTTTTGATTGAGAGACTTCAAACTTGCCTAAAGGAAGATAATTCTGCATGCCGCTCAAATAGCCCAGTCGTGCCTTTACAACCGGACGCTGATGACGTGCCAAGGCTTAGCACAAGATCACCATTAAAACCTCCCGATATTTCTGGCCTCGAGGCAGCACGTATTCATTGGGAAGTAAGTTCACAAGCTTCGGCCTCGTCTTCGATAGTCTCCGAAAGAGTACGCCGTGCAGGACTACAGGCTAGGGCATCATATTTAGAGCAGAAACATTTGCTAGATCGCCAAGCGCAGGAACTTAAGGCTAGGCAGGAGATGTTGGAGTTGAAAATGCAAATTGGGGAAGTCAGTGCGAGGGAAGCAGCGTTAGAAAGGGAGGAGGAAGGAATTGCAATGGGTTTTCAGGAAACTGAACGTGATGACGCCGCGTTACGGGATAACGCGCCAAACATGCAATATGTTTCTCATTCTCCCTCAGCTCATTCGCCCTCAGCAACTAGGGACCACTTAGATGACGTTCATGCCTCACAGTCAACCCAATCGAACGTGCGTAGCGACATAAATCCTTCTTATGACCTGGCTAGACGACTCCATCTTCCTCCTTTGGAGATTTCAACGTTTGATGGAGATTTAAGTAAATATAAATGTTTCATGCGGGCTTTTAAGTCAAATATTGCTACAAAGGTAGATGATGAAGATGAAAAATTGCATTATTTATACCAATACACTTCCGGACGACCAAGGGAGATTGTCTCCACATGCTTACACCTGCCACCAACGAGAGGGTTCGTGGAAGCGGTAAGTTTGCTGGATAAACGTTACGGGTGTCCGTTTCAGGTGGCGTCGGGTCTGGTCGATACCCTGATACAATGCCCCGCGGTGAGGCTCGATGACGTCCAGGGATTAGAAACGTTTGCTATTCAGTTGAGGGGAACCATGAATGCCTTGTTAAGCCTCCCATGCGGAACGGATTCAGTCGACATCAAAACCGTCCGTTTGCTCTTAGACAAACTGCCTTCGTTTTTTAAGGATAAATGGCGGATCAAAGTCGATGATATTGAACAAACAGAGCAGCGAAAATCAGACTTTAGAGACTTTGTTTACTTCATTGAAAGGGAGGCGCGCATTGCATCCAACCCGTCATATGGGAGACATTTAACAAATGTAACGAAAAATTACCAAGATAGAAAACATGAAAGCAAATATCACGCGAGAGGGACACTTTTAGCCGGTAACGTCAGCTCTCATCACTCCTCGTGTCTTTATTGTCAGCAGGATCATGAAGTCGCCGAGTGTCCCGAGTTGAGAATGCAGAGCAGAGATGTCAAAATGACGTTTATACGGTCAAATAAGCTTTGCTTTGGTTGTTTGTTACCGAATCATTTAAGCAAATATTGTGAAAATAAAAAGATTTGTACAGAATGTGGGAGTCGGCACCCAACTATCCTTCATTTTGACCGAAAACAAACTCCACTCTCAACAGTCACTTTGGGCCATCTTGCATCAAGTGGAGGAGCAAAATTGCAAGTCGTACCAGTGTGTGTTACGTTATTCGGGGTGACGAAGTTCACGTCTGCCTTTTTGGACTCCGGCAGCACACATTCGTTCATTTCAAGAAATTTACTCTCTAGTTTAGGGGTTGAACCAGCCGAAAGTACTTCAATTACTCTTTCTACTATCAACACAGATCACAAATTTGAAACATGCGTTGTTTCGAAGGTTACCATGGAGGATTTACAACACAACAATAAATTAGAACTTCCTCCGTTATTTGTTCTAAATAAGATCCCAGTGTCCATCGAGGATGCCCCGAACGTTAGAGATTTAAACAAATGGCCGTACTTGAGACAAAACGGGGTATACTTAGAAGAAAACTTTAAGCACGACGTAGGCCTTCTACTTGGGAATAATGTGGCGGCGGTGATGGAGCCGTTTGAGGTGGTTCCCAGTCAGAACGGCGGGCCATTCGCCGTGAGAACCAGGTTCGGATGGGTCCTAGGTGGGGTTGATAAGGATTCTCCGGTTCGTCTGAAAGTTAATCAATTGCAAGTGGCTCTTGACGACGTTTATGGTAATAGGGCTGAATATCGGTTGGGTCTGTCCGCAGAAGACATTAGGTGGCACGAAATGGTACAGGCATCGTGCCAGCTGATAGATGGTCGGTACGAAATAGCCCTGCCGTTTCGTGATCCAAGTCTTAAACTTCCAAACAATAAGTCTGTGGCTTATAGGCGCCTTGTGCAACTGAAGCGCAGATTCGAGAATCAGCCCCATTTCTTGAGAGAATATGCCAAGCAAATTGATAAACTGTTAGACAACGGCTACGCTGAAAGAGCTCCCGATCTCTCGAGCAATGCAGAAGGTAGGATATGGTTTGTGCCCCATCACGGAGTCGAACACCCTGTTAAGAAAGGCAAATTACGCGTTGTTTTTGACTGCGCTAGCTCCTTTCAAGGAAGAAGTCTAAATGAGGAGCTTTTACAAGGACCTGACCTTACCAACACCCTGACAGATGTTCTACTTCGTTTCCGACAAGAACCCGTTGCCTTCATGGCGGACGTCGAGGGTATGTTCTTACAGGTGAGGATTCCCGAGAAACAACGTGATTTTTTGCGTTTCCTATGGTGGCCCAATGGAAACATCGCCTCGAATCCTAAGGAATATAGGATGACAGTTCATCTTTTTGGCGCTGTTTCCTCTCCTAGCTGTGCAAATTTTGCGCTTCGTCGCACCGCTCTAGACAATGAACGGTTGTACGACCCATTGGTGTCTAGGACAGTTCTTAATAACTTTTATGTGGATGATTGTCTTGCATCGACTGGAAAAGAAGATGTTGCTGTGAAGCTGGCATCTGATCTTAAGCAATTGTGTCTGAGAGGTGGATTTAATCTCACCAAGTTTGTTAGCAATAGCGTTACAGTTTTGAAATCCATTCCAGAAGTTGACTACTCGCCCGGTATCCAAACACTAGATTTGAAATCAGATACTTTGCCTTCTGAGCGAGCCTTAGGCGTTGGCTGGAACGTTCGTTCTGATCGCTTAGAATATCAAGTTGACTTGCAAAAATTTCGGGGCAAGCCTGTCACAAGACGAGGGCTTCTGTCCGCCACAGCAGGTCTTTATGATCCACTGGGGCATGTTGGTCCGTATGTAATGCGGGCCCGAATGCTCTTACAAGAGCTGACTCGCCTTCGTTTAGGTTGGGACGATGAGGTGCCATCCCACTACCACAGACAGTGGAAGCAATGGTTAGCAGATCTAGAATGTCTATCCCAGTATAGTCTTCCCAGGTGCATATGTTTCGGTGGCCTTTCCTCTGCCGTCCTCCTCGAGCTGCATCACTTTTCGGATGCCAGCGAAAGGGGGTACGGGGTGGCCTCGTACGTGCGAGCCGTCAATGGAGACGGTCAACTGTCTTGCAATCTTTTGGTCAGCAAATCCCATTTGGCACCAATTAAGCCTCTCAGTATCCCAAGGCTGGAGCTTTCTGCTGCAACACTAGCTGTCAAAGTCAATTTAGAAATACAAAGAGCGTTTCCATTCGATTTTAAGCCAGACATCTTCTTCTGGACTGATAGCACTACAGTGTTGAAATATATACAGAATGAGGCAGCGCGATTTCATGTGTTCGTGGCAAATCGTTTGGCAGTTATACGAGACGGCTCTTCAATAGACCAATGGCGATGGGTTCCTTCGGAGTTAAACCCAGCCGACATTTTGTCACGCGGGTGCGATGGAACTACCCTTCTCAAAGAGTGTATGTGGCGTCAAGGTCCATCGTTTCTACTTGAATCACGGGAGAAATGGCCCCGATTCCCTGTCTTAGAAGATAATGCAGAGGACCCTGAACTAAGAGTGACCACTGTTGCATTAAACAGCCGAACAGAAAATGAAACAAAGATTCAAAAGAATTCGAGCATTCAAAAATTGATTGATCATTATTCCTCGTGGCAGCGTTTGAAGAGAGCAGTTGCGTGGGTACGACGCGTTATAGACACATTGGCTGGTAAACAGAAATCAGCACGAGCATCAGAGCTGACTGTAACAGAGCTAAAGTCAGCCGAGAATATTATCATCAGGGAACTTCAGGGTCAGTACTATGCGGAGGAGGTAGAGAATCTGAAAGCAGGACGGGAAGTGCGGCGGTCCAGCAGCCTTGTGTCTTTGGACCCCACGTTGGAGGATGGTCTTCTGCGAGTAGGAGGTCGTTTAGGGCACGCGATGGGCGTGGCCTATGAAAGTAAACATCCTTTGATCATTCCAAATAAAGGGCGAATTCCGGAATTAATCATACGGGATATTCACGAGAGGATTGGCCATGCAGGTCGTCAATGTGTCCTGGCGGAATTGCGTAAGAGCTTTTGGCTAATCAAAGCCAATACGGCGGTTAGGAGATGTCTCCACCAATGCCTCCGCTGCCGCAGGCTTTTTCGTACTACGGAGACGCAAAAAATGGCTGATTTGCCTGCAGATCGAATACAGCAAAGTGAGCAGCCATGGGTGAGTACCGGGGTAGATTATTTTGGACCATTCTATACCAAGAGAGGGCGTGGACAGGTCAAACGTTACGGTGTCATTTTTACATGCTTGGCCATTCGCGCCGTCCACCTGGAAGTAGTCGAAAGTTTGTCGTCTGACTCTTTTATATGCGCCCTCAAGCGCTTCGCGGCCAGGCGGGGCTCACAAATAAGAATCATGCGTTCTGACAACGGGACAAATTTTGTGGGAGCGGATCGTGAGCTGAAAAAAGAGCTCGAGTTTCTTGTTCAGCATGAGGCCCAAATTCGGAGAGACTTGATAAATCGAGGTATTGAATGGCGTTGGAACCCCCCTGGTGCCTCTCACTTCGGAGGCGCATGGGAGCGATTGATTAGGAGTGTTCGTAAGATACTGAGCGGTTTACTCAGGGAGCAAACATTTACTGACGAAACACTAACCACATTCCTTTGTGAAGTGGAAAGCATTATGAATAATCGACCCTTGGTACCAGTGACAAGTGACCCTCGAGACGACCTGCCGCTAACGCCCAATCACTTGCTGCATTTACGTTCTGTTTTGCTACCAGCCTCAATGGTGACAGATATAGATGCGTTTAGCAAAAAGAACTGGAAACGAGCATCGTTCCTTGCAGAGCAGTTTTGGCGACGTTGGCGTGCGGAATATCTCCCATTACTTCAGCCAAGGGCCAAGTGGTCAAGGCTCCAGACAAATTTGCAGGTAGGCGATGTGGTGCTTATTGTTGACAGTTCAGTTCCGCGGGGTGTGTGGCCTCTTGGCTTGATAGAAGAGGTCAGAACAAGCACTGACTCGAGGGTACGATCCGTCAAAATCCGGTGTAAAGGTACCACGATTTGGCGGCCTGTTCAAAAGCTAGTTAAAATCACGGAAAGTTAAAAATATCTCAATCTGAATAAATTTGATCCCATAGTATCAAATGGGCCGGGTGTTAAAGCCGAGTATCTTTTTATGTTGGCTGCAAAATGGATCTTAATCTGTCGAGTTTTTCTTCTGTTGGCAGGTATCTTATGTTAACGGCACATGTCTTATATATATATTTTTAGCGTTTGTCTCGTGAGGTCAGATTTAATTTGCTGATTCAATTGTTGTTTCGTTGGCCAGAGATTATGTTATTTTTCTAGGTTTTGGTATCGCTTTTTTGTCATTTTTATGTTTTATGCTTTTGCGTCCGTTTACAAAATCACCAAAGGACAGTGAGCGGGTGAGCGGCGCGAAGCGGAACGAACGAACCTGTACGAACGAACGAACTTATACGAACGAACGAACCTGTACGAACGAACGAACTTATACGAACGAACGAACTTATACGAACGCCAACGAACGAACGTTAAATCGGCGGTGTCAAGTTCATGCCGGTGGCTGCAGACCTGAAACAATCCGTGAGTTTTCTTTGCGTTTATGTGTTTGTGTGCTATGTGTTTCGTTTTATTTGGTTACTACTTCTATCGTACTTATATTTGGTTACGTCTTATATCGCTACTGACTGTCTTTTTTAATTTTGATACTTATGGACCTGTTGGTGTTTTGTTTCTTGCAGAAAACCGTTTTTAAATACAATGAGTATTGGATCCTGAGGCTCCACCGGTAAAAGTATATTTATCAGACACACCAGAGTTGTTGAAATACATCGATAGAACCAGAGGCGAAAACCAACGACCAAACGAAAAACAGAAGAGATAAAACAACGAATTAGTTATTCAAGTCACCAAAACAGACCACAGCTTCAGCAGAAAGCAACAGCCGCGTCTGGAAGCGATTGGAAGCGAGCGGAACCGACAACAAAGCCCTCTATCGTTAGTGGCAGTGGATCCTGACCAAGGCTCTATACGAGTATGCCTGACATCCTGACGACCACGGTAGCCCCGATCACCCAGTCTGCACTCTGCAGGGCATCCTTGGCGATTTTTTCAGCCGTCTGGTGGTGATTCGGCCGTAACCCGACCGACAAAATCCCTATCGGCGGCGATCTGGGGAAAAATTCTCTCGGCGGCGGCTGGTCGGGTGCGGGCGCCCACCAGCAGCAGTGCGGCGAGTGGAGGTGGCTCGTGGGACCGATGGTTATCTCGGCGGCTCGTGACGGTGACGGGCGGAGGGGCAGGCCGCGGCGTCACGCCGTCACGAACGGACACTGGAGTGCCGCCGCAGAGGAGCGGGCCGCGGGATTCACCTCACGACGCCCGGAGTCTGCGCCACCACCTGACTGCTGCTGCAGCGTGAACGAGGTGTCAGAGATGGGAGATGAACGGGCTGGGAGCAGGAGAGGGACCGCTAGGTTTTGTCATCTTCTCAGAAATGGCTTAGCTGCAAACGGTGAATGACAGAGGTGCGGCAAAGCATCGTGATATCACATGGATGCGTATTATGACAATAATTACGGAGCGAGCGAAGCGAGCGTAGTCTTTCCTTAGATTAACGGAAATTTCTGAGTATGAGCGGCCGGCCGGCCGGCCGTGGTCACGCTTTTGCGAGGCTTATATCTCAGCAACCACTTGACCGATTTACATGCGGTAATTTTTGTAGGGTAGCTTCATTCCTTTTACCAAGTATTGGATTATTCCCGATGCATGTGGGTGACCCCTTATGCACGTGACACGTGCAAAACGAAGAGGTGTCACTTTTGTAATTGTTGCAATATCTCGGTAACTACTTGGCCGATTGCGCTGAAAGTTGGCATGTAGGTAGGCACCCACTATGCAATGCATATCCATGTGCCAGAGTTGAGGTGCTGCTGCACGTGCGCACGTGCAGGGGTCGATTTCAGATCTCGAGAACGGCTGGACCGATGGCGCTCAAATTTGGCACATGGTTAGGGACCGGTTAGTAGGGTGCCGTGCAAAAGTCAGTTGGGACCCATTTTGCACGTGCGCGCGTGCAGGGTGCCGCTTCCAGATCTCGAGAACGGCTGGGTGGATTGTGCTCAAACTTATTTGCTAGAGACCGGTTAGTAGGGTGCCGTGCAGAACTCAGTTGGAGGTACCCCCTCGCAATTTCGCACGTGCAAGGCCCACCCTCCCGCTCGCTCCGTTAGTCGCCCCAAAAGGCGTTATACTGGTACACTGAAAACAATTTAACCCAAGGCCGGCGAGTAAACCGGTGTTTCACGGGTACCCCTATCCGCAACCATTTTTAACCACCCTCCCAGGAGTAGGGCTAGGTCCCATTGCGGTGTAGTCGTACTTGCTCTGAGCGGATATAACCGCTGTCAGCGAACATGTCCGCTGAGAGCAGGGACGACTACACTGCAATGGGACCTTACTGTACTCCTGGGAGGGTGGTTAAAAATGGTTGCGGATAGGGGTACCCGTGAAACACCGGTTTACTCGCCGGCCTTGGGTTAAATTGTTTTCAGTGTAGGTAGCTATTTCAGTTTGAGGTCATATATTTGGACATTGTTTTACAGCTGCACCTCCCAAACCCGAGTGTTGGCCGCAATTTAGCTGCGTATTTTCCTCAAAAAGTAACTCGCATTTCCAGTGAAACAAGCTGAACCTCACTACTGGTGTTTTGGGATGCATTGCACTTTCAACTTTCAAGCAAGCAAAGCACAAATATAAAATACTATATGTGTGCCAAAGCCTGTCTAAAATACAGCCGTGAAAGCTGTTGCGAGCTGGGAATGTTGCATTTTAGGTCAGATACTGTGTGAACTGCGTGCTGCACGATTCGAGTTTATAAATATCCAATCCGAAGCGACAAGTATAGCCTGACGAACTTAGCTGCTTACGTAGTTATCAACCTGCAAATGACGGACTTATCAACTCATTTACCACAGGTTGTCTGCGCTGTGTAGTGTGTAGGCGTGCTTCAAACACGGTAGGCGAGGACTCGGTAGGACTCGGCGGCCAGTAGCGGCGGAACACCTTCAAGTAAGGGGTGGGGGGGGGGGGGGTACTGCCGGGTTTTGGTCCCATTCTTTCCATGCCCATAGGGCTAATGTTAAAATACCAAAATCAAAGGGGGGCACGATGCCCCGGTGCCCTCCCAGTTCCGCCACCTATGTCGGTGGCGCCACTTTTAGGGGGAATATAGGGGGTTAGTTATGAAAAAATGTTTCCGCTAGCCTTTTGGGATCCCTTAGATGGCTAGGGGACCCAAAAAGTTAGCGGAAACATTTTCATTTTTACTGATGGAAGTAGTCAACATAAAAGGCCAAAAGGGTGTCTCTTGTGCTAACAAGTCCAATCCAGCAGTATGCTGCAACAGACCCTACCTACCCCTGCCCCATTGTGTATAAAGCACGGCTACCGCGACTCGGGGCCGGGTTCCGACTAACCATCTCAGACGGCAGCCACCCAGACGTGACGGCGGTTCAACAAACCGCCCCCGGATCGAGCAGTGTCAACAGGCCGGCCCTCCGCCCGGTCAGCAGACGCGCACTTTGGAACGAACGTCCCTCACAGCACGGCACACCACTCAGGCTCAGCGCGGTAACCGGGAGCTTACAGGGCCGCTCGGCAGTGCCATATGACGGAGAGCTGCTCACAGGCCAGATTAGCTGCTTATGAGACGCTTTAGCAGTTGGGAACTTGGTTTATGTCGCTGATACTTGGTCCCAATGCTGTGGAGAATGTTTAGGCGGAGATAAAGCTCTGGGAGGATGAGACACGACCGCTGCAGACGATTGTGACGCATACCAGTGAGCGTTAGCGACAAATCTGGAGGATTCGGGTGCAGAGCGAGACGCCTGATGCAGTAAGATGGAAGGAATTGAGGGAACAATGACATATGATGCGCATTAGCCGCTCATTAAACCTCTTATTTTTTATCTAATCCTTATCCTCTTTTTTTATAGAATCCAGAACGTCTTAATTTTGACAGTTATGTTGGGAGACCATCTACAATCCGCATTGACGTTATTTTTTCCTGGAGTTTTAGGAAAGGGGTCTCCCTTTCCTTTGTTCCTCTTCAATTGCTTTCATCTGAGAAATAACCCGCAGTAAAACAGTCTTCGTTCGTCCCCCCGTACCGAGAACGCTCCACCCCATCCTCCCCCGGCGTCCCTTCCTCCCCTAGCGTCCCCTCGTGCCGGCCCCGTGCCGCCGCTCCCACCGTCACGCTCCACTCCCACCACCCTCGGCCGACCCTCCAACGGCCGGCACTTTCCCGTCGGCCGGCCGCACCCGCTCCCACCGAACTCCAGGATGTGTCACCGCTGGCCAAACCGGAACGTGCCCTCGCGGCCGGCGGCGGGCCGGCGTGCGGCCGACCGCCGCGCCGCGGCCGGCTTGGAATTCGGCGCCGCCGCTGCAGGCCGGCGCACCTGCAGTCGTTCCCACGGCCCGGCGCGTGACGTCAGCGGGCTGCGCTCACTGGGCGGCGGCATCCGGCTCAGCCGGCGGCGGCGGCGGCGGCGGCGGCGGCGGCGGCGGCGGCGGCGGCGGCGGCGGCGGCGGCGGCGGCGCCCGCGCTGACCCGGCCGGGCGGCGCGCACGTTCCGGCGCGGCTGCCGATTGGCGGCCGCCGGCTGACCGGCGGCGGCGGCGGCGGTATCGGAGGGAGGGCGGCCCGAGGCACTGCTGCCGACCGGGGACGGCTGAGAGGGTGGGCGGAGGGAGGGGAGAGGAGGGACGCAGCGGACGGCGAGAAAGGAGAAGTGGCACCGCCGAGGGCGAGGATAGGATGTCGGCTGTCGGGCCGGACAGGTCAGACGGGCTGGCACGAGACAGGATCGGCGGGACGGACAGACAGCGGGCACGGAGGACGAACCCGCGGATGGGAGAAAGGAGATACCACTGAATTGAGCACATGCGCACTCAATTTTTACCCATTTGCCTATGTGATGTAGAACGTCTAGAAAAGTAAAATGAAATTATAAAGCCTAAGGAGAATGCATTACGTTAGTCGAGATATTGACGAATTGCATTTTTTTGCGGTGTGGGTACATAAATGATATGAGAAACGATGATGTAAATGATAGCGCATTCATAAGTGATATAATAACGCGAGCCACTTCTTCCAGTCAACTGGAAACATGTCGCTGCAGACTTGAGTCGACTAGAATGACTGTGCCCGTGCGCGCCGTACGAATGTGGAACACTGCATCGTAGCATTCGGGAGAATACCAATAGGCGGTCCTTAAAAAAGTGTGTCAAGTGTGACACCATGCAATAGCCATCTACGCGCGCGTCCTCTTTACTGCTTTTTGCTGCCGTTTTTTGCTCTATTTTATGTTTTCTGCACTTTTGCATTTTAAACACATCGCTGGGTTTATTCATATTTTTGTTCCATCTCATGTTCGACGCATGAATTTACATCATGGCAGTCTTTATATGACACTGTGACATAACAGCCAATGATTTATTGGATGCCACAAGGAACCGCAATAAATAAATAAATAAATAATAGTCTCGCGTTGTTGACAAAAGTTCGACTTCGGCACGCAATCGTAATGCTATTTCCCGCAGTAAGACAAAGCCCATAATCCATCGTCAAAGGCCCTACCAACACCTCACGTCCAATTTAATAAAACGTTGGTCGTCAGTGACAAAAAAAAAGAATTACTCATGTTCTAAGTCTTCATTAAGTCGAATATTTTACCCACCTGGGCCTTCCTGGTCCTGGCGGATTATAATGCTTATTATAATCGATGTGTGTTTCCCACCCTCATGATGCCCAAGATAGCCAAAAGAGGCCGGGTGATTCCATTTCGGTAGATAAATTGGCTTAAAAACCACGCGACACATCCAGCAGATATGATTTAATGCGACTTGGCTGGCCTTCCTGATGAGGCTTAGGTGACACGTGACGAGATACAAGAACATGTTGATTCTCGCGTGCTGGGAGCCACTATTTTACTTGTAAGTAAAGGTGCAATGTTTCCTCAAAAATGAGCATACCTGCAAACACTGAACCACAACAAGAAAAATACATATGTCAAGTCATAGGGAGCGACTTGAACCTAAAATAAACTCATTGACACAGGCAATAACCTAATACACATATTAATATGTGAATGTTCACCTGTTATTTTGTTTCAATTAAGAAGTGGAAAGTCCATGAAAAAGTCCAGAAACTGCACTGTTCGGGCTGCCTAGCACATTCATTATAAAGAATTTGTCTCACTCCATAGCGAAAGGAAATCATGAAAACCCCCGTTAAGTCTGCCACTTACAAGAGGGTTGAACCATAGAGTAATAAATAACCCATTACGTTATTCATGAGACTATGGTTGACCACAGCACATTAAAATCATATGTGGAACGTTAGAGGGTGCTGATAGCATTTAAACACCATTCAGCTGCCTGTAAGCAAATTTATTTTGCATTTTTCATTTATTCTATTATTTTATTGGCTGAACAAGCCTCTGACATTTTCCCTGCATGACATTTGGTATTTCTCATTTAATTTATACTCACCTGCCACAGTTTTGATTATTCAGGCAAGGCAATATAATTAAAAAAAAAAAATAATTGTAATTTGATGGTTTCAATTGTCAGATGTTATGTCTTTCAAGCTAAGGCAAACGCATGCAAAACGGTTTTTCTTTTTGCTAAATAAAGCCATGTGATATTTCTACGCTCTGGCAAAGATGGCGATAACGCTGAGATATAATGTTTGCTTAATGAGCTTTATCGAGTACAAAAAGAATGCCCACTTCGATGCCACATCATAACTGTGGTGGATTTAAAGAGTGCATTTATCAAATAGGATTTGCCTTCCTTTGATGTGAATATTCTACGATAATTCACTCCCTATCTTTTCCCAGAGACCTGCTCTGACCGCAGCCCACGGCAGCACCAATACCGGGACAGATATAAAATCAATTCAGAGAAGTTCGCAGGCACCCGCACCGATTCCGATTTATCCTCCCGCCGAGCAGCGGCACCTCAAATAGCGCTGCGGCTCGGGAGGACCGTGGGAGCACCACCGTACCCGCTGCGGCGGCTCAGCCGGCTCATGGTGGCTCACAGCGGCTCAGTGCGGCTCAGTGCGGCTCAGGGGGCTCATTTCGGCGATCTGCTGACCGGTGGCCCCAGCGCGGCATGCGGCGCCCAGCGGCGGCCCTCAGAGGTAGCCTGGGAACGGCCGCCGTGCCGCGTGCACGCCATCGCTGCACGTGCTAGCCGCGGGGCTCTGCCGCGCTGGAACCGCAGACACGTGCACCAGACGGCTGACCGGCACACAGAGATATGGGCGCCCTGCGACCGCCGAGGCGCCGACCTGCCGGTGTCCCGGTCATGCGGGACATGAAGGGGTAGGTCCATCACGGCTACACCGAGGCAGCCGCTCAACTGTGACCGGTCGAGCGAGGTGGCCTGAGATAGGCCCTACACCACGCAGATAAGACGTCATTAGCGCAATAAATGACACAGTTAACGGCTAAATGCTGGCAACATTGCGATGGCCGGTGGGGTGGACCATACAAGGTCTGCAGCAATGGTGAATGCACAAGGTTTGTATCTCTTAGCGCAATTATTGTAGCAGCCTAAGATTGATACTTTTCAACTGCAATGAATTTGACGTCCAAAAGTAATAGGTACTTTATCTTCTTTTGCTTCCCTGACACACCGATGTTTGCAGTAATTTTAGGAGAAATAAAGGGAAGATAATAGCCGTTTTCACGATGGGCTATCCGGCGAATGCACCTGATTTGACCAAAGCTGCCCCTATTTCTTTTACAGCAAATATCTTCATTTTATGAATTTATCTCAGTGTTTTAATCGATGATGCTCTCTGATAATATGACAAAGCAGGCATATAAGCAATTAGCGCAACCTAGCTGATAGCTACTAAGAGACACACTGAACCTGATTTGACCAAATCTGCACCTAATCTGTACCAGGTGTGCACCAAATGTGTACCAGGTGGCCGTCGTGAAAACGGCTAATGTGTCTTGCACGCACATTTTTGTTCGTCTTTTTCTCTCTTTCCTTGCACTATCCCGCCCCTGGCTCACTCAGAATCCCGCAGAGGTGTATATTTCTGGTGCTTCATGGATCGCCCGCTGCCCGACCGCTCATCAATCGCAGAGACCGGTAGGAGCGTCCCGTTAGCGGCTGCCGAGTTGTCTGGCCCGTCTGACCTCTGTCGATCACTGATCAGTGATCAGTTATCCCGTAACAGCCGCCGTTGTGGCGTGCTAACGGGCAGAGCAGCGGTGCAACCAGCAGGACTGGCTCGGCCGGTAACTTTTAACGGCGCAACACCAACAAACGAGCTGAGAGATGGGCACTGACGAATTAGCATGGGCCGGTTCGGGAAGTGCTGCCTTTGATAGCGGTTTGAGGTGAAAATGTTCTTGATTTGGCAGTTCAACTACTGGTGCGGATGCTTGTAAGTCTGTTTTGTTATTACGCAGCTTTTACAGTGTTTATATGAACGAGTCGTGAACTTCAGACACCATAAAATATTTCAAAAGGATAAATGCGTTCAAAACACTATTCGATTATCAACATATTGACCTTTGCCAGCCTCCAACAAATAATTTGTGATTAATTACAGTCATAGAAATCGGTGCAAATTGAGTACACTATTGCTTACCTTACTTTGAAAAAAACAACATTTTATATCCAAATACACTTAGCGTCTTCATCGCAACATAAAAAAATGATGGTCTCTCTCCAGCAAATGCAATACTTGGAACCGAATATCACACTAACGGCTGTAACTTATTTCAACCAAACTCGAGGTATATTTCAATCGATGACTTGATGCCTCAATCGGCAAATATTGTTTAATTTGTATAATAATAATCAGAAGGGCTTCCTAGGCCTCCTTAAAAATTCATATTGCTGATACCATTATCAGCAATAATTTTGGCGTAGCAAATCTACCTAAAAAGTTCACATACCTATAGTTATCTAGCTGAAATTACCGGACACGCTTACAATAACAAAAGCCACTTATGAGCGGCTGTCCGTCATCCGTACTCTTCAGTCCTAAAGCGTCTCAATCCAGTCATGCAGAAGTCAGTAAATAATCACCCTTCGCGTCCCTTTGACTTTGATCCGCCGCAATCCCATCCTGGCCACTTTGGGCCCGTCAATCACCTACACCGGCCGACAGTGAGCGCGTGTCGGTAAAGTGCGCGCGCCGTCCCCGCCCGCGGGAGGCCGCCGCCGCCGCCCGGGAGGGCTGTTTGTCAGCGGTGGCGGTGACCGTCAGCGCGTGCCGTCACCTCTCCCCGACAGCGCCGCCGCGCGCAGTCATCTCACGCAGCTCCCGACACGCAGCGCGGTGAGCGGTGGCGCGAGCCCCGCGCTGCGCAGCGGCCTCGAATTGGCAACAATGCACGCCACTGTCGCGCTGTCACCGGCTGTCGGCAGCGCTGCCCGCGTGCCGCCTAATTGGCAGATCGACTCTGTCGTCGCGTCCGCTTCCTATAAAAACGGCCGCGACCTGCCATTAGTCCGGATCAACCCGCGCGCTGCCGTCGGCTGCACGACCTCCGCACAATGAGTCAATGGACGTCACGTGACAGTCACGTGACGATGCGAACGTGGGAATCGGTCGCCGCCCAGTCCGCTTCCGGCGCGGTGCCGGTTTAATGAGCAGCGCGCATTCATTTATCTCCATTGTTGACTGCGCGGCGCACTCCCGGGCGGCGCGGCGGCCGGCCCTGGGGCGCTCTGCCGCGCCGCGCCGGCCGCCCGCGCACCCCGCGCGTGCGCCGTGCGTGCGATGGCGGCGGCGATAGTGGCGCGGTCGTGCGGTGGCGGCGCGGCGGCGCGTGAGCCCGCGCCGCGCCGGCCGCCGCCGCGCCGAGCCGCTAATCAGATCCGCCCGGTGCGAAGGCATCCACGAGCGCCTTTCCCACGGCGGCCGCCCGCCTCCGGCCGGTAACGTGTGCTCAGCAATTACCTGTCCCGGCGGACACCGTCGCGCGGCCAGAGCCGTACGCGGCGCACAGACCGGGCCCCGCCAGCTAGTGCTACAAACCGACCTGCATAGCATAAAGAGGACACACAGAGCTGTCGAATGATACCCGGATTGTGGCTGTGCGTTGAGTAGTTCAGAAGTTATCCGGAGTTTTGTCCGTGGATGCGCGGCGAGGGCCGCCATGACTGAAGGCTGCCGCCGCGGCTGTGGCGGCATGCCCGCCTGAAGGCATACACAAGATTATGTGGGAACTCAATCTTTCCCACGCTCCGTCGGCACGCGGCAAACTGGCTCCGCCCCCTCGGCACGCCGGCCCGGCACGCTCGCTCGTCCGGCCGCGCGAGGTTATATATATGGGTAGCGGCGGGGTGGCTGCCGATATTTGACTTCTGGCGGGAGAGGTGTGCGGTTGGACGTTGCGAAAGAGTTTTGAGGACGGAGGACATCATGGCGCCGAACACGCCGATCGAAGTGGAGCAGGAGCAGCCACTCTCCAGGACTTACCAATACAGAAAGGTAAATACAGTCCCCATCTGCCACGAGATTCGCTGTTATTTCGTCTGCCAACTGTTTGAAACTTCCAATGAGTTGAGTGGCAATTTGGAAGTTGGAATGTCTGCTGGTTCTTATTGTGATTTGCTGTATTGCAACGATTTTGTGGAAATGCGAACATGTGTATTTACGATCCCTCTCCTGTTCTTCTCAGGTGATGAAGCCGATGCTGGAGCGCAAACGCCGAGCGCGCATCAACAAGTATCTGGATGAGCTGAAGGACCTGATGGTAAACGCGCTGGCCAACGAGGGCGAGAACGTCACCAAGCTGGAGAAGGCGGACGTGCTGGAGCTGACGGTTCGCCACCTGCGCAAGCTGAAGCAGAACCACCTGTTGGGCGTGCTCAACCCGAACGTGCTGCACGAGCGCTACATGGCCGGCTTCACGCACTGCGCCTCTCAGGTCAGCACCTTCCTGGCCGCCTCCGGGCCCGCGGCCGACGTCGGCGTCTCTGCCCGCCTCATGAACCACGTCTCCAAGTACATGCAGGCCATGGAGAAGGTGGCCACCATCCACGGCGGCTTCCCGCCGGCGCCGGCTCCTACCGTCGCGCCGCGCATCATCACCCCGCCGCTGACCCCGCCGGGTACCGCGGCGCACCCGCACCCGGCCACCGGCACCCAGCACCCGCACCCGCTGCACCGACCGATGCGGGTGCACTGCGAGCTGTCTCCGGCGGCGTCCGCCAGCTACTCGGACCTCTCGCCGTCGGCGTCTGAGGCGAGCTCGCGGGTCAGCGGCTCGCCCCGCCCCGAAGAGCTGGTGTCCGGGGATGAAGAGAAGGTCTGGAGGCCGTGGTAGGCAGTTCTGCCACAGCAGCAGCGGGAGCGGTAGTGTGATACGCGCAGAGATATGCGACAGTTAATTGCCCGTTCGTTGTGGTGTTTGTGGGTTTGTCGCCACATGTTTGGCTGTTTGTACAGGTGTACAGATTATATCCTTAATCGGAGGCCTTTTCAGCTGTGATATTCGTTCATGTTGACCAGAAATATATTGCTCGTACTTATCAATTTGAGTTTACACCGGAAATAGCACTGGGGTTTGTTGAGCGGATGTGGCTGCGGGCTGCACGCATTGTTTCAGACCGGCCGCCGGGCGGGGAGGGTGGCGGCCGTCCGTGTCACCCCGGGCGCTCCACCGGCCCGCCGCCGCTCTCAGGGTGGCCGTAATGACCCCTGACCCCTGACCTCGGCCGCCCGCCCCGGCCACCGGCCAGCCTGGGAACGCGCCGCGTCGTCGCCTCCAAAAGCAATTAGACGCGACATCGCAGCGCCCCCGCTTTCATTAGGGCGAAAATCCATCAGACGCCGGCGTAAAATCGCCACTGCTGCCGCGCTGAATCATCCGCTCCTTGGGTTTCACGTCTGTAGGAGCCGTGACGTCACCGGCCGAACCGTGAGAAAATCGGGCAGGTGGGCACCATTAGACTCCAAGCAGCTATTGGCGCGCACGTGCTAGCGATAACAAAACACAATCTCATTTAGCCTCTACGGCGGGCCGCCGGGAAACCGGTCCGGCGCGCGGCGAGACAACGGCGCCGCGGCCGGCCGGCGCACCCCGCGGTGGAGGCTACAGGAGGGTTTAACATTCGCGAGGATGGTCGAAATTACCCCTCCAGACGCTGGTGCGGTGAGCCTTAGCGCCTCGGTAATGCCAAGAGTTGTGTTGACAGTTGAGATATGAGCAGCCGTTTTTTGTCACAACCAAGGCTTGAGAACGGGCGAGCCGGCCGCTTCCCACGGTCGGGCCGGCCGCTCGGCACGTTCCCGCACGGCAGGCTCATATTAATGAGGCGGCCGGGCGTCTTGAAGGGGCGCCGCGGCGCGCGGCTGGGGACGGCCGCACGGGTGCCGGACCGGCTGGGGACGGGCCGGCGCCGCGCCGCGCACGCGGGGTGTCCGCTGCCGACCGGCCGGGGGGGGGGGGGGGGGGGACAGGAGGGCAGGCGGCCGCCCGGCCGGCCGTGACACGGGGGCGGGCGGCACGACAACCAATTAGGCGGAATATGTTGTTTTGGTGGGACGGGGGCTTGTGACACCTCTTTGTGCTCGGCATAGGAAGCAGAATTTAATGGTGATATTGGATGAAAAATAAACGCAGTGTAGAAGAAATTTAAAACTAATAATTTCATTTTCGTTAAGCTTACAAGCTTAGCTTAGCTGTCAAGCTTATTGCATGCTAACGCTTATTATTTATTTTTTAAACAAACTGAACATGTTGTTACACATTCAACCACAACTAATATTAAATTAAATGCGTTCTCGCTGCATATAATTGCATTTTGTTTTGTTCGCAAATTTCAAGTGCTGCATATTTTTATCAATGATTTCACCTGAAAGCACCACACTTATTCGGGACGATGTCTTAGCCCGCGCCCCGTTGGGGTCTGCCGAGCAACGTGCCCTGTTGGGGGGAGGGGCATTTTGGCCCCCCTAAGATCTCGAGAACCACGCAACATAGCGACAAGCAGCAAACGGTGTTCGATAGCCCCAAAGGGGAACTACCTTGTGACCCAATTTTATTGACCTCGCTCAAACCGATGACATCACAGGTCAGGTCAAATGTCGAAGTTTCACAGTTTACAGGCATTTCAAGAAAAGAAATGCGCTGTAAAATCGAGTAAAATGCATTTCATTGAAAATCATCGATGGGGAATTGTTCGTCAAACACATATTTTGCTACTTGAGGTCACTGATACCAGGTCAGGTCACAGAGGTCAGGTCACTGAGGTCACAATATGAAAATAGCATGTGATGCATATTTTATGGTCCATTTTACATGCAAAATGCGATTATGTGGGTCAGGCAGCCATAGGGGCCGGTTTAGATAATGTTCTGGTGAAGTTAGGTCAAGGTCAGGTCAAATTAGGTCAAATTTCAAAGTTAATATTTTTACATAAAATGGGTATCAATTCGATGCAGCTCGTTACGGGGAGTTCAATGGTCGTCTTTGTTTTGCGCTACGTGGTCTAGTATTGCTAAAAATTCGAGTTCAAAAATTTGACATAATTAATTTTGAACATTTTTTTTGCCCTAACTTGGCCAAAAAGGAAGGGATCGATCTAAAATTAGGTGTGTAGATAGAAGAGCGCAGGGACTATTACATATATTCGGCTTTTCTTGAAATTCGAAAAAACTTTTGGGATTTTTTTTGCGTTTTTCTAAGAAATCACTTTTAATTTTTGGTGGTCAAAATCCCAAAATTTTGAAAATCCGAGATTGCAATTTTGTAGCGCCGTCTTTTCTTTACATGACCTTGTAAAGAAATTGCTTTGAAATTGCTTGTTATCTGAAGCTGCTTTTGTGAGCGTTTCAAGATTACATGTGCTTTTGCTCATTTTTGCCCGAACATGACCTCAGTTTGACCTCAATAACTCTTGACCTAAGGTGACCTAAGACTTGAAATTTTGTGTGAAGGTGTCAAATTGATGCCCGGGGAGGTACTGAAAATTTGGCGGCGCTGCGCGCCGCTGTTTTCTTGTTATTCAGGAAAAACCACAGGGGGGTGGGATGCAAAATGGCCTCCCCAAAGGGGCGAGGATTAAAATAAATATTCCATGCTTAACTTGGATCGGCATTCACGGCCTGTCCACGGCGACTCCCGTCTGCTCCTCACTCACTTCCCTGCCCTCCTGGAGGACCCCGGGTGACGGGTCACCCCCACCACTGACCCGCGCGGGGGCCAGTCTCGGCCTCCAGGGAAGGGCATGGCTCCGCGGCCTAAGTTCATCTGACGGAGCAGCTCGTGTAGCTACTTCTTTTGCCCAAAATGCCGCATGCATGTACTTACAATGCTGTAATGCTACAGGAAATAAACCGATATATTACGGCATAAAGTTGCCAGATAATATAATAAAACTTATCTGCTTTCTTTAAGAGATAGTGGGTTAGTTTTAAGCTAATTCTGACTACAGCAAAGTGACAAACATACCTGCATGCTAAAGAAAAAGGGGGCAATTTAAAGCTGTGATTCACGCCAATGATATAAAAGTTAGCTTACTTGGTGGCATACTCGTAGCTTTAAAAATAATTTATAACAGAAAAGGTGAATCCATGTCAGCCGTTTTTGTAGCAAAATTAAACACTTTATTTTTATAGCATTTAGGCAGTTGCTGCACCCTGTTGCGCCACTGCAGTTGAGTACGTCTCGAGGGAGAGGGCTTTACCAGTCTCCCAAACGGCCATCTCACGCAGCACAAGAGCCATATGCTACGATGGAAGCCACTGAGGTCGGATATTGGTAACCGTCAGCCCCGAAACAGGGGGTTGTAAGGCGCTGAGAATGATTTGCGAGTCTTGAAGATAGATGCGAAAGATTGGAGTGGTTATTGGCCTGGTGACATCAGCTGATCAAATAAGTGTTTAGCATCGACATTTGGTTAAGCTTTTCAAGCTTGGATGATCTTTAAGCTCATTACAATAACACATACTGTATGCCTCAGCGTAACAGTTCACAAGAGCGGTATCTTGTAAGGAACCCAAAAAACTGGGCGTCGTGTCGAATATTATTGCGAGCATGTCCTTTTCCAATGGAAATGTTATGAAATCAATCATGTTGTGAATTATCGTAATAAAATAGATAGAAATAATTAAATAGTTTAAAATGCAACTAGCGAAGTTGTCAATTCCATAAAAAATAAGGTAACTGAGATCGAGCATTTCAAGGGAAATATAGCAAAATGAAAGAGAACGCATTCGTGTTGATATCGTTGTTTTCACGTCAACAAAAAGGTAAAAATAAAGTAATTAGAAAGAGCGCCATGGAAAACATGGGCGTCAAATGTTTTGACATCAACGCTTGTTTCCCAGCCGAGTCAGTACATGGAAGTAGCAGAATATTTTACTGACATAGACACGGAGGAAGAATTTTCTACCTAATCTCTGCCCCATTTCAGTCGTTCCACATCGCCAAAAAATAACGAGTTATCGTGTATAATCGCTTTCCCACAGAAGCAGCACTCATGAGTGCTACTTTAAGCCCTGGCAAAAGAACTCCCAAAAACTTGTTGTCCTACCTTTTGGAGCGTGCGACCGACACGAGGACAACCACTTATGTCTGTCACGATTCACCGAGGGTGGTAATAAATATTAGCACTCATTGCTTCTACACACCACCTACTTACCGTCAACCACATGCGAAAGTAATGCTCACCGCTTGGGCCATACCTACATGCGAAACCTAAGAACACATAAACAGAAATCATCAAATAATTAATAACCACTTGTGACATGGAGGTTTGAACTGAAATGACAGACGACAGTTTTGTAGCCTTATCTAAAAATACCACAATCACCCTAGCAAAGCTATTCCAGTCTGAATTCCCAATACCACATCGTCCTTTACGGAATAATGCGTCTAGCGTGGCGGGCGGAACACAATTTAAGCCACGAAGCGCTTGGAATTACAAGGCGAACAGAATCGTTTGAAGTTGATTGACTGCTTGTTTACGCTCAATTTTTGAAACGTCAAAGTCAACAGTTTTATAAAACCGAGTGGCTTTTATTCAGAAAGTGTTGAAATCGTTTTTCATGCACCTGCACATCTGAAGGAATTCGGGTTGCATTTTCATCCTGGATGAATGCGGAGTGAGTCTGGGGCGAATGTGAGGCATCGCTCCGGCGCGGGGCGGCGTTGTGCGCCGGCGGCACGGTTCGTGCAGCGGCGCGCCCACCTGCACGGCGCCACGAGCGTCGCACCGCGCCGGATTGCGTTCAATTGCGCGTAATTCGGGGGTGGCGGCCGCCGGTGGCCGATGCCGGTGCCTGGGGGCAGCCGGCGGCGACGGCGACATGGTGTAGAGGTGCAGTCGCGTCCGACGGCGGCCATCAGTGCCGACCCGACCGGCCGACGCGCCCCGGGCGACAGGTACCGACCGACGCCGACCGGCTACTGTGCGGAACGGCCGGCCCAAAACCGGCTCACATGGCCCCTGATGGGCCACTTAGCGTGGGTTACCGCCAGAAATGACGGCCACCTCGAGAAAATACCGACAGATGTTTGACAGAAAGTG